CTTAAAATCAAGTGTGGTAAATGCATATTTCAGTGCATAACTCATTTTAAAACAAATTTTTTTTAAACGAGTTCTATGAGACGAGTCCATCTGATTCTGTCTAATTACCCAATCGGTTAAAAGGGTTTCATGTGCTGCTAACTCGTTTACCTTATAAAATCTACCGTTTTTTGTTGCTTAAGCTCATTTGACAATTGATATGTTAACTTTGAAACTAGTTTGACACTAATCTCTACGAACATCAAAGCCACACCTTTATTTTCTGATCCCTTTTAGCTTCTGTTTGCATTCAGTGTTCTTAGCAGCGCTCCCTCTCCTACTCTTAGGATACACTTTGGGACTACATAGTCTAGAATTCCTGAGCTATCTTATGAGATCTCTTATTTGCTTCTATCGACCTAGAATTTGATCAAACTTGCACTTAACCTCGTAAAGCTGATAAGTATATGATACATATCTCATTGCTATTATTTAACATTCTGCTCATCTTCAGCCCTAATTCTTTGTCCACCCTACAGAAATCAGAATTTTCTGAAGGTATTATAGGTGTTTTCATTCTCTTCCTCCCTTGAAAAGTACATATCATGGGATTACTTACGGAAAGTATGCTGGATGACCCAGCAATGTTACGATTTATGCATGAAGTTGGGAATATTTATGCAAACCCTAAGCGTGGCTCATGGCTTATTGACGTAAGTTTGGGGTTATGGCGTAAGTGAAACGACATAGGAAATTTTCAAAGGAATTTTTAGGAATTGTTGATATTTAAATAGTATTATTTCCAGGTGGAAGAATACATGGCACAATTACCGAATCATATCGTACCAAGAGTGAATTCTAGCGGTGAGAAACATCGCGAAAAACAGCTCCTCACTCAGCTGCCACGGCAGGATCTATCAGTTGCATACTGCCGACATCTAGGATCGAACACTGAAAGAAAGGTTTGTTGGATGGCCTGTTTCTCTTTAGATCTGTAGACTAAATAAATTATTAATTTTAAGCTATAATTTCACTTCAGCATCCAATTTTAAAAAAACGTTTGCGTTTGAAAAGCTTAAGGCTCAATATCGATCGACTGCTCATTGAGGTGGCATTTTTACCGTAATTTTCCTGATGCAGCCTAAGCTTCAAAGTA